ATATTTAAATATTAACAGTTTATTTATATCATTGGCATTCTGTGTAATAGACCAGGACAAAGCTGTGTATAATTGTGAAATGGAAGGATTTTTGTACCCATAGCATTTCTGCCTCCATTTATAACTGGAGTTGAAAATATCCAATGGAACTAATTGATAGTGGAAGTGATCTAATTATTAATTAGACCTTCTTTAAATTTTGATGATCACACCCGTAAAGACTCAACCACAATGGAGTGAAGGGTGTTTGTCTCAGGGGAGGAATAATAATAATTGAACTTAATTGATCTCAGTTGGAGAAATCTATCTCTGCATTTAACCCATCCCCTTGGACAGCATTGGGCTGCCACTGTGCGGCACCCGGGGAGCAGTGTGGGGTTAAGAGTCTTTCTCTGGAACCCAGAGTGGCAGTCTGTGGGGGTCGAACAGGGTACTTGCAACCTTCTCAGAGCATAAGCGCACTGCTCTAGCCACCAGGCCCACATGAATACCAATACATGGCATATTTATTACAGTTTTCTTTAAAAAAGCCAAATTATTATTTTTGTTTGGAATTATGCACAACTTTGTTCTGTTGTATCACACAAAAAACCCCTAAAACAATAAATATTGTAGCTGTAACGTGCAGAAATGTTAATAAAATGTTCACCGGACATGAATCCCTTTTGCATGGAACTGTGAAAGGATGCATTTACCTCAGTTTCTCACCTAACATTCCCATTTCTTTAGTTGCTGATTGTTAACTCTCTTCTTTTTCGCTTGTGTAACAATCGGAAGGCTGTAAAGGAGGATTTGGTTGGTGGGTACGTCACAGAGACCCCTTCTATTGCTCCGGAGCCCGAAGCTGTAGTGGAAACAGTGGACAACCTGGACACTGGTGCAGAAGCTTATGACTCTAAGGACTATGACCTGACCGATTATGACTTGGGCAAGTTTGACAGCAAGTTGTATGATTATGGAGCATATGATGAGTATGGGGTCCTCCCATCTAAATCCCCGCCAGCCTATGATGAGGAAGTGGGGCCTGGGGTTGCTGCTGAAACAGACTTTTCTGAAAGCACAGTAAGTATCACACCCTGACCTGGTGATGGAGGGGTGTGTGCATGAACGGCATGTAAAGAAGACTCTCTATGTCACCCAGTGCATGAATTTCTAGCGGCTTGGTTTGGGAAATACGTCATTGTCATGTTGTATGTGGATTAAGAAAATGTTTCTGCTGTTTAGTTTGATTTGTAGAAACAGTGCATGCATCTGCATCCTGTCAAAGAATCAAAACCTTTTACAAGCTACATTTCTGTCTCAGTCTATCATATAGAAACATTCAATCACACCTCATCTGTTAACACACAACCCTCAATCAGTGGATATAGGCCCATCCTGCACCACACCCATAACATATCCAGGAAAGCCTGCTGACTGCACCTCCTCATCTATTCATCTCTCAGCACTTGGACCCAGCCCCGCCTCCTTCTCCTCTGCTATTTAACAAGCAGCTTGTGACATGTACACTCTCTTTGTTCACTGCAGACAACCATTAAATCTCTGGCACTGTCTGCAGCACAGTACCAACACAACCACTCACATACACACTATTGTAAAGCCAAAGTTAGGATTTTAATACTTTTGCTTTCTGCCAAGAGTTTTAAGCTCAGCTTTCACTAGACAATAAGTACCATGTGTAATTTATCCGAATGATAAACATGTAGGAAAGCATCTCTTCTCTCTATGTTTGTTTTTATTCCTGTCGGCTGTCTTTAAGTATTTATTTTGAACATCTTCATTTTGCCAGTTTGCTTTTTCATTTCATCTGCATCTTGAGTTCACCCCACCTATTCATTAACTTCATTTACTCCTCTGCATCCTGTGAGGCAGAAGGCTTTCACACTACTGGAACACATGAAGTTCAGATGCTTCATTTAATCTGTTCTTTTCCTTATGAAACAGCCATAACTGATAAACTCTTAAATAATAACTTGGCATGTTTACATCCAATATTTACCCACAATGTCCCATGCAATGCATTGTGATGCAATGACAACTTTACCTAATCTCAAGCTGATTTCTGTTGTTTCCTTTCAGGACTAACATTTAGTTTAATTGCACTATAAAGACACGTTTATTTGTGTTATACATTATCTATTTACTGATCTGTTTAGTAAAACTTTCCAATTATAATTACTTTTTGGGGTGTTTTAAAAGACTGTGTAAAGAATGTTGTCTTTTTTTTGTTCTGAAACTGCAGGGTCCTGGTTCTGAGGCTGTCTTTGGACAGAAGGGTGAAAAAGGCGAGCCAGCTGTGATTGAACCTGTAAGGTCCAACATGTCCAAAACAATGCTATGTTCCAGGCTTAACAGCTTTTTTTCATCACAAAACCAAAATATTTCTCTCATAAATTAGAGGAAATCTATGGCAACACCTTTATTTATTTTTTTTTATAGCTACAGGGAATCAACTAATCAATATATTTAAACAAATATAAAATACATTTTGTTATTTAATTCTGAAAAAAGCTTAAAATCATTGCTTTGAATATTGGAATACAGTATTTATAATTATGTTGTTTATAAAAAATGTATTATTTATATTTTATACATAGATCTTAGCAAAGATATGGACCAATCATCTGAGATGAACATGTCTTCCGGCTCTGATTGAACAAAATATTACACTGTTTTGTCAAATAAGCAAGTCAAATTAACAGATACTCAGTAGCTAGCCTGAGATGGGCCGATTTAAAAAACATGCTAATAGAAATATTTCCATACACTCAGATTTGCCTTAGGAGTTAGGGAGA